TATCCGATGGTCAAGAAACAGCATCAATGGCTAATATCGACGATTCAATCAAAGAAGGCTTTCCTTTGAGTTATGAATCTTCAAGTCGTGATTCAATTCAAAAGCCACAAACGATCGCTGATAAAGGTGGAAGATTTTCGCAAGGTTTGCCCACCAAAGAAAGGGATCTGAGAGGGGATGGTCAAGAGACGGCATCAATATCCGATTTCGATGATCTCGTCAAACAAGGCTTCATTCCGAGTAATAAATTTTCACTTCGTGAAACACTTGACGAACCAGATATGGGCACTGGTGAGATTAGTAAAATTTCACAAGGGTTGTCTGATAAAGAAAGTGACTTACAAGGTGAAAGTCAAGAAATGACATCGACTTCACGTAGCAATGCATTCAAGGAACAAAAATCGCCTCCACGCAATGGAACTTCAGGTCGTGAAAGATGTGAACAGCCACATATTAGCAATGACAATATTAGAAGAAAGTCGAAAGACTCAAYTTCCAATTCGACAAGTGAGTCTCATGATAATAAAGACTCGGGGAAAGATAAAATACTAGTTGCAAATGACGTTGATCATTCGTTTTCATTGATCGCCTCAAAATCATCACTAGTTGAAAAGGAAGAGCACGAACCATCCGGTAGTGAAACTGACACCTTTACCAGCGGAAAAGATCCAATGCTCGAAAAATATGATTCTCCCACCCCTAGATCTGGATCGGACATGCTGTGTACTCCTCCAGACATTCAAACTGCTTCATTTGAATCTACCGCGATACCCTCAAGATCATTTGATCGTAATTCGCATTTGATGAATCTTTTTCCAAAGTCACCAATACAAATGACTCCGAGTAATCACAAAAAACCAACACCTTCAAAGCTTGCTCCATCACCACGAAGAGTGATGAATCCAATGAACCCAAACTCTCCTGCCAGGAACACTAGAAGCTCGTTGAAAAAAATTCTCCCAACCGATGGTTCCGGATTGAAATCCATTTTGGGAGGTGAACCACGCCAAAATTGCGCCCTTACTAGAGAACAACAAGACAACGACGGAAATCATGGAGTACTTCGTTGTAGCAAACGCCGCCAGTCTCTATGTGTAAGACCTGTTGCTGAACAGATGGAAGAATCACACAGCTCTGAACAGACGCCGTTCCTGAAGCCTTGTAACGGAATTTTAAGCTCAAAAAAGAAAAATATGCTTGTGCCAAAACCTTCTACTGGGATTTTAAGCTCGAAAAAGAAGCTTTTCTCTCGTCGCTCTGTTGCCTTTGGTTCACCTGAGGCTGCCGAATACAATATTGGAAGCCCATCAGTGAGTCTAACTCCTATGCCGAAAGGTCGCGCAAAGGCCCTTTTCACTCTTCCAGCGACATATAGTAGCTCTTGCAGTAATCAGGTTGATACATGTGATGCTGGAATTGATGGAAGCGAATGCGCTGGAAATAAGTCAGGTATGGACCTTTTAGTCGACAAAATAACGGTCGAACTGATGAATAATTCCCCTGAGTTAAGTCCAATTGAAAAGAAGAAGATCGATACAGATGCATTTCAAGTACCATCTCATTTGATGCCGTCTGAAGATAGTCGACTTCTCGAAGATAAAACTGTTGAGAGTGTCACCGAAATCAACGGTCAAATTTCAAACAATTCAGAAGAGTTGAAGAGAAGAAAGTCGTTGTCGAAACGTCCATCCGAAAATAAAGAGAACTCAGCTGAGTTAACCGATTCTGAGAATATTGCCTCGATCTATTCGAAATGCCATCAATATACAGCAGATCTCTCTGTACCAATTGATGCGCAACGGCTTGATTTCAATGATGCATCAGAATCCTCAAGAAACAATATTTCTACAAAGGTTGCAAATGAAGGCGACTCCGTAGAGATTGAACGAAACATGCTTTCGTCGCTGCAAGATAGTACCGAAGATGCAACTTTAAATGAAGATAGGGAACGTGACAGAAATGACAAAAGTGAGTTGCCATCATATTTAGCTTCTACCGGAACTACCGAGATAAAAGTAATGTGTCAACGGCAGTATCGACCAAGGCAGAATTTAAATAAGTTTCAAACCAGCAAAGGTATCAGTGAGAATCACACAGAAGAAGGAGATATGCTTTCTTTGCTTCAAGCTTCTGAAAATCATGAATCTACAGGAGGTAGCAACGGAGATGAAAGAATGGATACAGCTGAGAACTCAGCAATTGTCAATGAAGACATCTCTGAACAATATACAGGACACTTGCAGATCACAAGCAGTCCTGGAGCTGATGAAGATGGCAAGACGGTTGAGCTTGAAGGAAACATGCT